AAGCACATGATACGAGCTCAGCCAACGTTGAATGAATTTACTAGTTCATCACCTCATCTGAATGGAAACTCCTCCCTTTGAGGCCATGCTTCCAGAACGCCAGCACACTATCCTGCAAGCAGACTGACAGAACAGGAGGTGTCACTCAGCTTTCAGGACACACATCAGCTCTCATTCACTTTGTTTGTCACATCATCATTTCTACCTAGTGTTTCAATGGGGAAGTCAAAGACTATTTCTGCAGCCAGCTGTCTGGATGGAAGTCCTTGCAGGTTCACGATCTTTACAGTTCCTGTCCAAACAGTACACAGATTGAGAATGAGCATGAAAGACATTTGAAGGATTCACAATATGCGAGGGGACTTACTTTCCAAGGTGATGAGAACAGTGTCTCGGTCCAGCTGGGTTACCTGCACGACTCTGAGTGCTCCACTATCTCCTGATGCACGGAAAGAAGGAAGCTTGTTGCAACAAGTTGAAGCTTGAAGCTTCAGGAAGTCAGCAGAGACACGCAGAAACGGTCCTACCTGGCACTGGAACAGGAGCGCCGTTCAGCTCTATAATATCAAACCTGAGCTGTTGGCCGGTTGGTGGTTTATCATACTACAGTCTCTCACTCCAACACACAGCTGAGAAGAGAATCTGGGAGTCTGATGGCGAGTTGCTGTGAAACAGTCACCAAGGAAAACAAAAAAAACTAAATAAATTCTCATGGATGGTTAAGTGATGCTTGTTAAACCTGAGCTGAACCTGTTCATACAACCGTCAAAAACAGCACAAACAGAATTCTTGTATGATTATTAAATCTTGAGATTAAAGATAAACCGATGCCATCCACCCATCCATCCATCCATCCATCCATCCATCCATCCACCCGTCCATCTGTTCGTCCAAACATCCACCCACCCATCCATCCATCCATCCATCCGTCCATCCATCCATCCATCCATCCATCCACCCGTCCATCCATCCATCCACCCGTCCACCCATCCGTCCATCCATCCATCCACCCACCCATCCCTCCATCCATCCACCCGTCCACCATCCGTCCATCCACCCGTCCATCCATCCATCCATCCATCCATCCATCCATCATCCAGCCGTCCATCCATCCATCCACCCGTCCATCCATCCATCCATCCATCCATCCATCCATCCACCCGTCGATCCATCCTTCCATCCATCCATCCATCCATCCGTCCCCTAACTGCACGTCTTTGGACTGATGCCACTTTTCCATAATGTTGTGGCACAGGCGTGTTTCTCCAAGCAGCACTGTGTTAGGACTGCAGACAGGCTTAACACAGAGCTCTGTTCTCACAGTACATACATTATCGTTATGAAATGTGCGAGACATTCACAAAAAAACTGTCAATTATCTGTGCTATGTGATCTAATGGTGCATGCTGGCGTTGAACTGTGTGCTGATAACACTGTTCCTGTAGCACAGAAAACACATGGTAACCATTCAGTTACACGAGCTTGGACCCAGAGAAGGTGCTGTTGGTGTTTTTGGACGGCGTTTATACAACGTTTCTTTTATTTAGTCTCTAAAATCTTGTTGGGCTTGAATAAAAAGTATGCATATGTTATTAAAAAACAATGCATGCTTCAGATTTTGATATGCTGTCTGTCTACTTTTATGTAATTCAGGTCTAATGACTGGTTTGCATTGTGGAAATAGGGTTAGAGTTAGAAAGGAAGACATTTATTCAGGTGGCAAGTTCGACATATCTGTACAAACCTTTAGATGCATGAACTTTTGAAGAGGCTCATACCACAAGAGTAAAACCAGGCCAGATGGGACAGCCCGCACAGATATGTACTATCTGTGTATGGGTTTTGAAGGAAATTGCCGTCCCGGGTTTCCTCCGTGGCGTGAGCGATAAGCAGAGTTCTGTCCTTTCCTTATAAGATTCCTAATTATTTAAAGTAACACTCAGGTATGCCGTTCAGCTGGGTTAGTTACGATATCGGGAGCAGCTAGGAGAACAAAGTGATACAGAAACTGTTCAGATTGCTTTCCCAGAATCAACTCAAAGGTTTATTTGATACACAGCAGTTTATATAGAGAAAAAAAAGGTTCGTGTGTCAGCTTTCCCAGTTTAAACCGGTACAGACTAAATAAGGAAACGTCTTCCTGCCTTCTGAGCAAAGTATCCCTTGTGTAGTTTATCAGTTCAGCTATAATTTATGATCATCCCAGCAAAATACACTCCTAGACATAGAATACAGAGTTCTTTCATCAGTGAATTCTGAAACAAACCACCTAGCCTTTAACGAGCCTTTTCCAGGAGATGAAGAAAAAGGGAGGATGGGAGTAAGGAAGTGGTCTCATCTCTGTGGTGTTTTCGACCTTGGGGTACCAGCTTGTGAGTCTTACACATTAATTCTTGGGTCACAGAGAAAGAGAAAAACAACTAGTAGATGGGCCTTATTGAGTAACAGTTTTCCTGTATAAAACAATATCCTGTAAATGCTAACCGTGGTATCAAAATATCACAACAGTTCTCCCCTTTTATCATGAAATGATAACATAGTATAAAGACAGAATGTAATAACATAATATAAAGACAAATCATAAATGTGAAACAAATCATAAATGTAACTAGTCCTTCGAGGAAGCTTAATATCAAAATTTCTGAGAGCGTATACATGGTATCACACAACAGACAATAATCATCGAAAACATGCTGCAACGGTTACAAAGGCTACAATTAGTTCCTTCCATTTTCCAAACGTGTCCTGTAGCCACTTGTCTAGCCACTGACCGTGACCTGCATTGGCTCTTAGTTCTATCTGCAATTCTTCAAGTTTATTCATAGCTTGTGTGAATGAACCGTTAGGGGTGGTATTATTGGGAATGAAAGTACAACAAACATCTCCGAACATCGCACAAACACCTCCTTTCTCAGCTAACAGCATGTCTAAAGCCATCCTATTTTGCATGGTCATTAAAGAGGTAGCAGACATCTGTTCTCCTAGGGCCTTAAGGGCCGTATTGGTCAAATTAGTAAGTCTTTGCTGATTGTAATAAACATAATTGATCCAGGCTACATTTTTGTTTACCTGTATATGCGGTATTAGTGAGACAAACCCTGCGGATATTTCCCCTTGTGCCTTTAATTCCCTTGGTATCCCGCGTGGAACCCCTATAGCATCTATGTAAACGTTATGTGAGTAAGTGGAGCGTTTTGTACGTTTGCTGGATACAGGCAGATCTGAGGTTTGTTGTATTAGTAGTTCTTGAGCTAAAGTTACTAGACCGCAGGTACCGGTCCAATTAACAGGTAAAGCCACTCTAAGGGTATTATTGCACATCCAATAAGCATGTGGGATTGGTCTGGTCAGGCGCGAAGCTGTAAAGCCTTTTAATATGCCTCCCCAGTACGAGTCGTTTAGTGTGTTGGGCGAATGCAGGATTGTGGAGTTATCTGAATGCGTACTTATATATGCATATAGATAATAAAACATATGTCTATGTTGTGTCCTGTCAATACTTGCTGCTAACCATGTCTCGGTACAGCGTGCTCCTGGAAAGTTAGAAAAAAAATGTATAGTTTTGCGCGTCATAATTTATGTTTTCAAGTTTTGGTCAGTGTATGCATGTCATCAAGATATTTGGGTGATGGCGCACCTGTTTTGGGGGCGAGAGAGGTTCAGTGCGGTCTTCGGGGCGCTTCATTGGGTTACAGGGTGGGTAGAGTCGTTAATCATGCTGACATCCTTACTAGAGACTTGTCCTGTATATATGAGTAAACAATCTAAAGGACTTAGTTCTACTCGCACCGCTTCAATCAGGGTTACTGTTAAGGGCCCCTTTTCATCATTTTTGAATAGCATCCTTGTCAGGGGAAAACCTGAGATTGGGTATCCCACTATAACCTGTTCTGGATTACCCTTTGAACAGACATAACAATTACTGTTTCCTAAATCACGAGCAGCTGTTCTAGCATTTTCATACCAGGAGTTGACTCCTGCTCTAGAGGGCGCATAAAATGGTTTATTAGTGGCGTCTATGTTGCCATTTACTGATTTTAGGGAACGTGAGAAGTGCATTAAGTAGGTGTCTCGCAAAAAAGAGCATGAGGTATCGTCAGCAAAATATGACCTGCAGAAATGTGAACATGGTTGCAGTTTACAATACAAAATAGCAAAGAAAAATCCTAAGGTTAATGCGATAAGTATGATGAATAACCTAAATATATAAGAAAAACAGTTCTTCAGTCGTCTTCTGGCCTGGTCCCAGGTTCGAGAGATATTGAATAAGCGTCGTATGATGACAATGGGCATTTCATTTTCTCCATTATCAGGATGGAGTGAGTCTGGCTTTATCAGGTTAGACATCATGTGGTACTTTTGGCTTTCTATTCCTGCTGGATGTTCGAGTACCTTGCTGTGGCTCTTTCAGACGTTGTGTGTTAATCAGTGATTGCGTGTGTGTATGTACACTGGATCCGGGCGCTGGCTCGCCTGAGATGTCATCTACCCGTGTGTGTTTATTTGCTCTAGTTCCGGGCGCTGGCTCGCCGGAGATGTCGTCTGCTTGATCCGACGCCTGAGATGGTCCGATTGGGCTGGTCTTAACCCTGCTGGCATGAATCCACTGAGGTTGTCCGTCCGTAAGGATGCTGGTTCTCGTCACTGCCAGTACAGTCTGGGGCTGGAAAACGCGGCCTCCCCGAGTGTCCTTGGTTTTAGTGACTTCACTAGTACCGCATCCCCTGGTCTCCACTTGTGGGTTGGAGCTGTGGAGGGGAGAGGCTGGGAGAGACAAACTTTCTGATAGTTATTATTCAGTGTTTCTACCAGATTGTGAACATAGTCGGACAATGCAGTGTCTATGTCCCCTTCCAATAGCGGTGCCCCTCTGGAAGCTGACCATGGTGTTGGAAATGGTCTTCCCATGATTATTTCAAATGGAGATAATTTGGTTACTGCAGATGGAGTCATTCCAATTTCACAGAGGATTTGAGGAAGTAGTTTGATCCAGGTCATTCCTGTTTCTATCATTGCTTTAGTCAGGCGATTTTTTATGGTCCTATTCATTCTTTCTACAACTCCTGAACTCTGAGGATGGTATGGCACATGATATTTCCAGTCTATTCCTAGAGTTTTAGTACACTTTTGAATTACTTCTGATGTAAATGAAGGTCCTCTATCACTGTTAATTTGGTGAGGTATTCCGAATCTGGGTATTATTTCATTGCACAACTTTTGACAGACTACTTCTGCAGTTTCTTTTGAGGTTGGATAAGCTTCTACCCATTTACTAAATTGATCCACTATTACCAGTAAGTACTTGATGCTTCCTTGTGCTGGCATGTGTGTAAAATCAATTTGTAATGTATGAAATGGAAAATCTGGTTGTGGTAAATGCTGATGTTTCGCTTTTGGTTTTCCTACATTAGTTCGTGCACATGTTAGACAGGTTGCTAATATGCTTTTTACTGCATGCAATGTTTTCTCAATTACAAATCTTGATTTTATTGCCCCTATTACCCCTCTTTGTCCGACATGACTCACACCGTGAAAATGTCGGACAAGGACTGGCAGCAGGGAAGATGGGAGGGCAATCAAACCCTCAAGGTTTTTATATAG